CAGGGTGGCTCCGTCGGTTAGGCATCCCTCTTTGGCTCAGGTAATAATCTCACAGTTTGTGAGTTCGAACCCTGCATTTGGCTCTGTGCTGACCACTCAGCCTGGATGGAGCCTGCTTTGGATTCTGTGTCTCCCTGTCTCTCTGCCCCTCCCTTGCTTGAGCTCTGTCTCTGTCTGTCTCTCTCTTTCAAAACTAAACATTTAAAAAAATCAGGGGCGCCTGGGTGGCTCAGTCGGTTAAGCGTCCAACTTCAGCTCAGGTCATGATCTTGCAGTCTGTGGGTTTGAGCTCCACGTTGGGCTCTGTGCTGACAGCTAGCTCAGAGCCTGGGGCCTGCCTCAGATACTCTGCCTCCCTCTCTCTCCCTGCCCCTCCCCTGCACACGCACTATCTCTCTCCCTCTCCCTCTGTCTCTCTCTCAGAAATGAAACATTAAAATAATTTTAAAAACTATTGTCATTTTGAAAGTTTTTGTGTTCTTTAGCTATATGTTATATTAAGTAAAACTTTTACTACTAGCCTTCTGTCATCTTTTACCAAAATAAAACCCCTCCCCAAAACAAAATATTTTGTTCCTGAGGTTAAGAATGGAATGTTGGTTTATCTTCAGACGCAGGATCTTCATCTTTATTTCTGTAAATATTTGAATTTGGAAAATTAAGGTGTAACTAGTATAAAGTAAAATGTATAAATCTTAATTGTACAGCTTAATGAGTGTCTCTTCCCCTCAATTTCTCTCCCCTCTCCCCCCTCCCAACTACCTCTTTCCAGCTCAAAATAGAGTATGCTTCTAGTACCCCAGAAAGTTCTTTTGTGTCCGTTCCTTCCCCCCCCCCCCCAGTATATGTGCTGTTGAAGCAAGCACTTTGTGTCCATTCGTAATTAGTAATATTTTCACCTCTCAGCCAGAACGACTATACTCTTTTAAAAAAAATTATTTCTTTATTTTTTAAGAGAGAGAATGCAAGTGAGGGAGGGCCAGGAGGAGAGGGGACAGAAGATCTAAAGCAGGCTCTGTGCTTCATATAAATGACATGTGGTGTATATACTCTCTGTAGCTGACAGCTTTTGCCCAATGCAGTGTCCTATGATTCATCCACGTGTGATTTATCATTCATCAACAATGAATGAAATCCGGGGCGCCTGGGTGGCTTAGTCGGTTAAGCGTCGGGTGGCTTAGTCGGTTAAGCGTCCGACTTTCGCTTAGGTCATGATCTCACGGTTCGTGGGTTCGAGCCCCGCGTCGGGCTCTGTGCTGACTGCCAGCTCGGAGCCTGGAGCCTGTTTCAGTCTGTGACTCCCTCTCTCTCTGGCCCTCCCCTGCTCACGCTGTGTCTCTCTCTCTCTCCTAGAAATAAATAAAACTTAAAAAACAAAACAAAACAAAACAATGAATGAAATCCGGGGCACCTGGGTGGCTCAGTGGGTTAAGCGGCTGACTCTTAATTTTGGCTCAGGTCGGGATCTCAGGATTGTAGCATGGAGCCTCACATCGAGCTCTGCACTGAGTGTGGAGCCTGCTTAGGATTCTTTCTCTCCCTTTCTCTGCCACTCCCCTGCCCGTTCTCTCTTTCGCTCTCAACAAATGACTTAAAAAAATGCAACCCATATTTGCTTTATTCACATGGTTTTTAGGTCCTTTTAGCAGTATTAAGCAGTACATGGGAAGTCAGCCCAGTTTCAAGAGTCCTGTATGAGGAACCCAAGGTAGGAGATGCATATGGCTGACCATGACCAGAAAGTGCAGAGGAAAAGTCCCGATGATGTGCTGTGGCTGTCCTGGGACTGGGCTTTGTGTAGAAGGAATGAGACCTGTACTTGGGAAAGTGGCTGGACCTCAGGCAGATGGGACCTAGAGGCTGGGCCAGGGGATGGAATCTGTATTCCCAGCAGGTGTCTGTGTTTGATGCGTGCGTGAGATGTATGGCAGGCAGACATATGGCCCCCGAACCTGGAGTGGTCAGAGGCAGTTTCCTGAACATCTGGCCCTGCCACCTTGAGGTATTTCCCCCTTGGGAAAGATTCACTGGGCTGTGGGTATTTGGCATGGCAGTAGGATGCCGGCCGTGTAGCCCTGCAGGTCAGGCAGGAGATCTGGGCTGGGGAAGATGAACACAAAACTGGATGTAGCTGTGGGAGTGGACTGAGGCGCCTTGCCGGAGCTCTAGGGTGGTGCGCTTCACCCAGGACGCTTGTCAGATTCGCTCATCAGACTCTTGGAAAATGCATGACTGGGCCTACCTGGGAGGCTTTGATTGTTGTTCTGGGCTCACAGCAGTCACTTGGGTTTTTGTTTTTAATGTTTGTTTATTTTGAGAGAGAGAGAGAGAGCTGGGGAGGGGCAGAGAGAGGAGAGAGAGGATCTGCCTAATGTGGGGCCCAAGCTCACAAACCAGGAGACCGTGACCTGAAATTATGACTTGGATGCGTAACCGGCTAAGCCACCCAGGCGCCCTGCTCCTTGGATTTTAAAAAATGCCTTTATTTATTCTAATGTACTTTCCCTCCCCATGGTGCTGGTTAGAATCAGTAAGGAAAATGGGTCTTGAGCTCTCCTCTAGGGCACACTCAAATCCCAGAAGAGTCCGGAGACAGAAATTTTAATACCTGGCTGGGCAAGAGACCAGTCTTAAATGTGTCCCCAAAGGTCTGGTTTCCAAAGTGGTCATAGTGTCCCTGCTGAAACACTTCCAGAACAGAGAGCTTGCCAATTTCCCAGGCAGCCGTTTTTGGAAGACTAGAAAAGCTTTTTGGTAAAAAAATAAGCCAGACAATCTCCTTGTGTAGCTTTCACAGAGTGGGCTTGGCAAGGAGCTCAAGGCCAGTCCACCGTGCGTGTGATACCCCTCATGGTTATAATGGTGGCTTTCCAGCCTCCCCTGTTTCCTTTTCCCATGCCGAGCCTCCCCAGCGCTTCCTCCTCCTGTGCAGTTTTCAGAGTTTTTGTTGCCGTCATCTTTAAATGGGTGCTCTTTCCACTATTGCTCTTCAAATAAGACATCCCCCAAATCAGGCGTTTATTGATGAGCATGAAGTAGAGCAGGACCATTTATGCTTCTCTTGTTACGTAGATAGTAATATACTCCTGTCTTTGAGGGGGCGTGGAGGGATCACAATCGTAGGCCTTATATGTACCTTAAGTTCATCGTGGATTCCTCCTGTTTTTTGAGCCCCTGGATGCTAACTTTGATCTGGCCCACCCCCCCCAGCTGTCATGTGGCCAGTGAGATGAGCAAATTTGATCCTCTCCAAGGAGAAGAGGAAGCGGAGCCTCCGAGCCAGGCTGAGCAGCGCCTCGCTGTGTCCTTACCTCACGACTCCCATAATGAGCTCTGTGCTGAGCTGGCAGAGAAGCTCAAATTCAAATATTTAATCGGTCCTTGGCTGATGAGTTGTCCTCTGTGGCTAAAATAAAGTTGCCCTTGCACCCCAGGAGGTGTTTACTAGGGAGTCTTGCCTCTTCCTTTACCCCAGTAGAAGCCGTTGCACTAAACTTGCCCCAAAGTGATTTGCTGTTTGGGAGGTTTCCTATTGATTCTTACAGGTATTTGCTTACAGTAAATCACACTCCTTGGAAAGTCCCTGCTCTGAGTATTTACTTTGAGTCCTGTAAACTCTATGACTTGGGCTTGCACATAGTACTGACTGAGTCAGCCAGGCACCCCCAAACATTCTTATTTTATCTTGAATTATTGAAAGTGCTAAGGCAGTAACTTGAGATTTACAACAGACTAGTTGGCGGTTAGACATTAGAGTATCATGCTTTTCAGTGTCCGCAATCTCCTTTTTGAATAGGGATGAAGGAGGTGTGGTATTATAGCTACAAATTAGAGAGCTGAGGTTCTAATGGCAGAATAAACATTGTAATCTTAAGGTTTCTTGAATAATATAATTTTCTGAATAGATGACCTATCGTTTTTTTTGCTTTGTACAACCAGATCTGTCACTTTGTTAAAAGTACTGTGTTTAAACTTTCTCTGTCTTGCAGGGTATGCTGTAGCACAGTGCTTGCTTCATGGCAGGTGCTCAGACTTTTTGTTTTGAGAGAGAGTGCACAGCACCCATGGGGGAGGGGCAGAGGTGGGGGGAGAGAATCCCAGCGCAGAGCCCAATGCCGGGCTCCACCCCATGACCATGAGATCATGACCTGAGCCAAAATCAAAGAGTTGGATGCCTAACCAACTGAGTCACCCAGGGGCCCCAAATTCTCTTTAAAGTCTCGGTGTCTTCAGTAACTAGCCAGAAGCATGTCTGTGGAGTGATGCCTGAGGATGATGACCATGGACCCTAAGTCAGGTTCACCCTCCAAGACCACCAGGCTGGTAGAGGGCAGTTGTTAGTGGAGCTCCTCTGGACCAAGAGCAAATTCATGTTGGAGAAGGATATTATCGCTCCAGTGTCAGATCACCCGTTTCCCCCCTGTTCTCTCAATTCTAACTTCCACTAAAATCACTTGAGTAGCACTAGGAGGAGTATTTTCTACCTGGGAATAATCATCTGGCCACCAGTCTAATTTTTTTTTTTAAACAAGTTTTATTTATTTTGAGAGAGAGAGTGTGCACACGAATCGGGGAGGGGCAAAAAGAGGGAGAGAGAGAATCCTAGGCAGGCTGTGCACTGTCCGCGCAGAGCCCGATGCAGGGGTTGAACCCATGAACCCTGAGATCATGACCTAAGCTGAAATTAAGAATTGGACACTTAACTGACTGAGCCACCCAGGCGCCCCACCACTAGTCTAATTTTTAATTAAAACTCTGTCTCCCATCTGAAACGAATTCACCAAGGTTCCCTTTTCTCCTTTCCAAGCAAATGATTTCAGTCATGTGTACCTTTGTTTTTGCATTAACTTCCATGGATGCTATTCAGAAAACAAAACTACTTAATATGCCATGACTTACTCTTAAGAACTGACACCACCAATCTCCATCCCAGTAGAAATCCACGCCAGAGTGAAGTGAGAGCAAGGGGAGATCTTTCCTTCAAAAATGGTGTGTGGACATGCTCACTTCAGAACGTAAGCCTAAACTTGGAATGATGCAGAGAGGATTGGGATGGCCCCTGCGCAAGGAGGACCTACAGATCTGGAATGAGCTCCCTGTTTAACAAACTGGTTTGTGGACACAGCACACGCTTCCTTCTAAGCAACATTGGTATAAATCTGTAGAAGGTTTCAAATATACACAGGGCTCACAGGTGTTTTATTTAGTATTTAGCTTTCTGTGGTTAAGTAATTTACCTTAAAAAAAAATAAAAGAAAAGCTTGTGATGTCTCCTTTCTTCTTCTTCTTTTTTTTTCTTTTTTGAGAGAGAGAGAGAGAGGGTGCAGGTGAGTGAAAGGCAGGGGGAGGGAGGAGAGAGAGAGAGAAAATGTGTGTGTGTGTGTGTGTGTGTGTGTTTTGTGTGTTTTTGAGAGAGAGAGAGAGGGTGCAGGTGAGTGAAAGGCAGGGGGAGGGAGGAGAGAGAGAAAATGTGTGTGTGTGTGTGTGTGTGTGTGTGTGTGTGTTAACCCGAAGCAGGGCACAAGCTCACTCAAAGCAGGGCTCATGCTCCCCCAAAGCGGGGTGCAAACTCAGGAACCATGAGATTGTGACCTGAGTTGAAGTCAGATGCTTAACAACTGAGCCTCCCAGATACCCTGCAATGTCCCATTTCTTGATATATTGCTTCTTCATTTAAGAGAATCCTGTATCAAAATTTAAAAAAATGCACATTACCAAATGAAGTATCATTCAGTGGCCTGTATGCATTGTTTTTGGAGGGAATGAGGCAGGAATCTTTATGGAACAGGGGGACAGATCTAGTTTCCTGTGGTGGTTGTGAGACAGGGGACTGAGAAGAGAGTCCTAGATGTTACGGAGAAGAGTCCATTCCTGAAATACTTGTTTTCGCTGTTGTTATGTCTTCTAAAATTATTTAATTGTAGAAAACAAACAAAAATGTATATATTTAGGAATATACATCTAGCTTAAAAACTTTATTTTTAAAAAAATTTAAATTTTTTTTTTTAATTTTGAGAGAGTGTGCGCACATGTGCACGTGAGTTAGAGGGGGGCAGAGGGAGAGAGAGACACAGCATCCAAAGTAGGCTCCAGGCTCTGAGCTGACAGCACAGAACTTGACGCGGGGCTTGAACCCATAAACTGTGAGATCATGACTGGAGCTGAAGTCAGACACTTAACTGACTGAGCTACCCAGGCACCCCCCAGATTTTTCTATTTTTAACTGGAATCTCAGATTGTCAGAGGAGGAGGTCTTGGGATATGCCTAGTTATAAAATTTCGGAATGTAATGTTTACTAGACAGATTATTTTTTAAAATGTTTTATTTATTTCTGAGAGAGAGAGAGGCAGCGTGAGCAGCGGAGGGTCAGAGAGAGAGGGAGATACAGAGTCTGAAATAGGCTCCAGGCTCTGAGCTAGCTGTCAGCGCAGAGCCCGACTTGGGGCTCGAACCCACAAACTGTGAGATCATGACCTGAGCTGAAGTCAGACGCTTAACCGACTGAGCCACCCAGGCGCCCCTAGACAGAATTATTTTGGAGGTGATTTGTGGCATATGTATATACACACATCTGATGGTGGCAAACAGGTATGTACTGGACTTTTAAGTACTTGCTAAGTGCTTTGTGAGATATAGAAGGAATGTAAGACTTAAAAAAAAAAAAAAGATTTTAAAGTAGTTTCTACATCCAACGTGGGGCCTGAGCCCACAACCCTGAGATGGAGGGTCCCACACTCCACTGAGCCAGCCAGGTGCCCCTGGAATATAAGACTGTTAACTAGATATTAACTTTGAGATGGCATAGTGGAAAGGAGTGGGGTCCAAGTACTAATGGGGACAAGGTTTCTTCCTGGGGCTGCAAATGTTGTAAATGTAGATCTTGGGGATGGTTGTATATATACATTGTGAGTATACTAAAGCCGCTGACTTGCATGCTTCATTCACATGGGTGAGTTTTATGGTTATGTGAATTATAGCTAAATAACTTTAAAAAAGAGATATTATTAATACATTTTTAGGGCAGAGAAGATCCCCAAAATTGCTTGTGATTTCCTGCTTCCCTCATTCCATTTTCCAGGTCTCCTAAGTAGTTGAAATGAAAGATAAAGAACCTTAAAACACTCTTATCTTCTGGTGGTGGGGAAATGCTGAGTGGCCCTGAATTTGTGCAGTGAAAGTTGTTTACACAAGCCTGTGTCTGTAAGCGCCGAGATAAGAAAAATCAGGCTCAAGGCTCACGCGAGCAAAAAGTGACCAGAGAAACGGGGGCTGTCTGCCTGATGGAAAATCTGGGACTTCCTGATATTGGGCCCTTAATTTACAGACCATTCCAGGCTGTCAACAAAGTGGTTGTCTAAGGAAAATTCTGGCTCATGCTATAATGTGAATGAAGGTCTCCAAAAAGACAAATAGTACAGGATTCCACTTAACAAGAGCTACCTAACATAGTGAGATTTATAGAGAGAAAGTAGAGTGGTGGGGTTGTCAGAGGCTGGGGGAGAAGAAAATGGGAGGTGTAACAGATACAGACTTCCAGTTAGGGAAGCCGAACCAGCCTGGAGATGGATGTTGGTAATGGCTGCAGAACTATGCTGTGAAACTGTGCTTAATGCCACTGAACTGTACACTTAAAAATGAGTAAAATGAGGGGCGTCTGGCTGGCCTAGTAGTGTGTGACTTTTTTTTTTTTTTAATATTTTTATTTATTTCTAGGAGAGAGAGAGAGACAGCGTGAGCAGGGGAGGGTCAGAGAGAGAGAGGGAGACGCAGACTCTGAAATAGGTTCCAGGCTCTGAGCTGTCAGTCAGCACAGAGCCCGACGCGGGGCTCGAACCCACGAACCGTGAGATCATGACCTAAGCGAAAGTCAGACGCTTAACCGACTAAGCCACCCAGACGCCCCTAGAGTGTGTGACTCTTGATCTCAGGGTCGGTTTGAGCCCCACGTTGGGTGTGGAGCTTACTCAAGAAAAATGGGTAAGGGGTGCCTGGGTGGCTCAGTTGGTTAAGCATCCGACTTCGGCTCAGGTCATGATTTCACAGTTCGTGGGTTCAAGCCCTGCGTCGTGCTCTGTGCTGACAGCTCAGAGCATGGAGCCTGTTTCGGGTTCCATGTCTTCCCCTCTCTCTGCCCCCCCCCCCCACATGCTCTGTTTCTGTCTCAATAATAAAATAAAAACATCAAAAAAATTTTTTTAAATGGGCAAAATGTGGGGTGCCTGCCTAGCTCAGTCAGTAGAGCATGCGACTCTTGATCTTGGGGTCATGAGTTCAAGTGCCACATTGGGTGGAGAGCTTACCTAAAATTTAAAAAATGGGTAAAATGTTAAATTCTTTTTATTTAATAAAGTATTTCTTTTTCATTTGTCTTTTTTAAATGTTTATTTTGAGTGTGTGTGTGTGTGTGTGTGTGTGTGTGTGTGTGTGTGTGTGTGAGAGCAGGGGAGGGGCAGAGAGATGGAGAGAGAGAATCGCAAGTTTCATGCTGTCAGCACAGAGCCTGATGCGGGGCTCGAACTCCTGTACCGTGAGATCATGACCAGAGCGGAAACCAAGAGTCTGAGGCTTAACTCACTGAGCCGCCCAGGCGTCCCTAAGACTTACTTTTAAGTAATCTCTACATTCAGCATGGGACTCAAACTTACAACCTCCAGATCAGGAGTCCCATGTTCTACTGACCGAGCCAGCCAGGTGCCCCTAAAATGTTAAAATCTATGTTATGTATATCTAACCATGCACACACCCACACAAATTAATTAAGAGTAAAATCACTTTAGAAGAAAAGAGGGTGGGATGCGGTGTCTGGATTCTCTACCAGACCGGGCACTGCTTCCGCGAGCTTTAGCTTTTGCTGCTGTCCCAAGTATGTGTGAGGGACGAACCAGATGCTCAGCGTGGTCTCCACCTGCTGTACCTTCCTTCCTTCTGATCCTTCCACCTGTCATTCCTGGACCATCTCCTGTGCCCCAGAAATTGAGCTCTGCCCTGCAGAAAGATAAAAGTGCACCCCAAGGCATTGATCATCCTGAGGGAGGTTGGGAGAGACGCACTTGCTTTTTAAATAGTGTCATGTTGTGTAGTGCTCCTCTGTGGTAGTAAGTGTGGGTGGCACTATTTAGGTAGTATTTGGGGGAGTTGGTGGCAGTGAAATGTCTGGAATCTAGTTTAAAGTAGTCAAATCAGTATGTAGCTGAAATTCGATGCCCACAGATGCACTCTTAAAAAAGACCGTGTCTGTAGAAGAAGACCTGTTTATAGCCTGAAAACTCATCATGGAAAAAAGATATCCTCATGGTGCCAGAGGAGCCGAACGCTTTTCGTGAGGAGCCACCAGGAGGCTGAGGCTGAGGCCGACTTACCTGCTGGCTCCCGTTTCTTGGGGCAACACAAGGCAGACCCACGGCTAGATCCTTAAGGAACCCGATGGGCTAGTCAGTGGAGGACACAAGAATACAGATGTGAGACAAAACACGTTTACAGCGTGTCCTGTAACAAAATACCGTAGACTGGGGGGCATACAAACCACAGGAAATTGTGTCTCAACAGTTCTAGTGCCTTAGAAGGCCAAGACCAGGGCCATGCAGATTGGGGTCTGGTGAGGGCCTGCTTCCTGCTTCATGGCAGTATTTTGCTGTGTCCTCACATAGTGGTGACGGGGATGGCGGAACTCTCCGGAGTGTCTCTTCTGAGGGCACAAATCCCTCAGGAACCCAAGCAAGTCCCAGAATGCCACCTCCTCATAACATCTCATACTGTCAACATACAAATATCAGGAGGATGCAGACCTTCTGTCTGTAGCACGGAAGCAACACATAATTCATTGAAAATTAATTTGCTAAGAACAAACTGTGGAAGGGAAGCATGAAAGTCTGATGGGTCAGCAATCATGAGCTTGGGCAGTCTAGTTTCAAAACACCTTTTATATGCTGTTAATGTTTTTAGGGAGAGCTCATTCTCAGCAGCGGTCTTCATCTGTTAAATAAATTCTTTACTGGGGAGGAGGGGGTGAGAGAGGAGGGAGGGAGGTGAAGTGAGGCAAGGATGTGATATTTTTGGAACAGTTTGAAATACGAAGTAATTTCCTGATAAGATGAGTTCCTCTT